GGTTTTTGGTGTGCCACCTCCTCGAAGGGACTCTGTTAACACACACATCAAAGGATTCTGTGAACACTTTGCATATTAATATTACACAACAAGGTAGAAAGTTTCCAGTCATCAAAAAGTTGCAGTTTTACTCAGAGTTTTAACTTAGCAGGAAATATAAAGTTTGCAAGTATGTTTTATTTATAATTTAAAATTGTTTACTGTTAATACATCACAAAAAATACAAATTTAATTCAGCAGATTCACGGAGGTAAATTTTATATAAACAAATCTTCAAGTTTAATTCATGTCAGAATATAGTTAGAGTAGTAAACATTAGGTCATAAACACTTAAAAAATCCATTCACAGGCCAAATCTTCTCGCGTTGGTGTCACGCGATCTTGTTTACAACTAAGAAATTATATAAGAATGATTGTATATCACTCCAGCAGCAGTTGACGATGTAAACAAAGGTGTGTGATTGTTTATTGACTCACTGTCTGTCAACGTGCCCTGTCCACCCGGAAGCTGTAAACACGGGAGCCACGAATTACCCAAAAGTACCCAAAAGTATAGCAAATAAGGGTAAAATCTTAACGAATATCTGTTATACATACACAAAACATGTTTAATAATATTTTTAGTGTAATTTTGTAAAAATAATTTGTAAGATGAAATAATAAACAGCGAAAAACTTTCAGTTTTGGCGAACGCTAAATTCCAAAGAGTTCGTTAACAAGAGAGATAACTCAGATCCATCGTGATGCACTTCGCTAACCTAACCTAACCTAATGAAAAGTAAATCCTACGGCTATGTTAAATACCCCAAAGTAACAGAAACATTGGTAATTATATCTCCATTTTGGATAGGTGATTCTTTGGAATTTAGCGTTATTCGCTGTTTATTATTTCATTATTTTGACTACATTTCAATGAAAACATTAATAATCAGGTTTTATTGATGTAAAACATGTATTCGTTAAGATTTTACCCTGATTTAATATACTTTTGGGTCCTTTTGGGTAATCCGTTGGACCGGTAAACACAACTCGAACAAAATTAACACTGGATTTAAGCCAGATTTAGTTTCTGGCTATATCTGTTATATATCACAATATCTCAGACGTGTTTGCTAGTAACCTTTATGTGTTAATGTCATCTAGACGAAGAAACATGATCCGTTGAACATCATGTGGCGCTGAGTGGAATTTGATAACTTGTACCTGCACTATCAACTTTTACTTTCACTGTGGATGACAGCTGCTCAAGTTGTATGCGCTCCTCATGAACATTATTAAGTATTAGAGGTTTACAGTTCGTTTATTCAGCAAGTCATATTTTTTAGCAATTGATTTACTTTATTCATAATTTCTGCCTTATCCCGACAGTGACCCTGACACAGTTATGAGAACAACAAAGTGCGGAGGACCAGGAGGTGAAGCTGTTGTGGGAGTAAAGTGTTAGAACCTGTGGTGCGAATTTGGACATTTTTGAGATAAATTGGTAATAGTGTGTGTGTGTGTGTGTGTGTGTGTGTGTGTGTGTGTGTGTGTGTGTGTGTGTGTGTGTGTGTGTGTGTGTGTGTGTGTGTGTGTGTGTGTGTGTGTGTGTGTGTGTGTGTGTGTGTGTGTGTGTGTGTGTGTGTGTGTGTGTGTGTGTGTGTGTGTGTGTGTGAAGAAGGCGCCCATAGCTATACTTAAGGGTTTAATGATGATAAAAAAGTCATGCCAACTTTGATCTCCCGAACTTTCACCTGTACACAAATTCATCATCTCAATGTTTGTGCATTTTTAAGGCTCATTTCATTGGTGGTATGACACTGACTTTTCAGGGTCCAAACAAACACACACATACACACACATACACATGCCCGCGTTCCAAAAATAGTATGGTGCCAACTTTAAGCCCCTGATATTACCCGTTAAAGCTGTCAGCTCATGTCGGGGACGGACGATTTAGAAATATTGGCGTTCTTCCGAGAATATATTTTTATTTTCGTCTCAACTGGGAATTCTGTAATCTAATAGAGATTCTGTAATATCAACAATAAGAATAACATTGTCACATCCAAACCTGACCCAACACGGATCTTAGTATAACTTTTTATTTTAATATCGATTCTATGTGGATATTAGTCATGCCAAGCCGCATTATTTGGTCGTTATTTTTGTGTTGTTTTGGCGCTGTCTTATTTTGTCGAGCATGTTGTTGTTCACTGTGTGGGACAGTTGTGACAGCATAGCGTAACCGTGTCATTATCATATCAGATGTGTGTGTTTGTCTTTCTGTCTGTGTGTATGTACAGTAATTGTTTGTCTGTATGTGCTGCGCATTTTTGCAGATGTAATTTATCAATGCATGCATGTGTGTGTACGTGTGTGCGCGCGCGCGCGCGCGCAATGGTGTAATGGTTAGCATGCTCGCCTCGCAAGCGAGCGGACCCGGGTTTGATCCCCGGGCAGGGTGAAACTATGAGTAAGTTTCTTTACGCCATTTGCCTCTGTCTCCCCAGCAGTACCTGGGGACCTGGATGTTAATCGATTTGTGGATCGTATTCCGGGGTAATGGTTAGCCAGTGCAGTTGGCGAGCTGTCCGGTCTTCTCGGACTATTTCTTGACGCTGCGTCTCTGTGGGTTGAGTAATTGATGATTATTTAAAAATGTTCAACAAACTATATTGAAAAGTTATTAAGAAAGATTGAAGCAATTTAACTCCCGTGTCTCTACTGATTGATATATATTTGACGATTGAGAAAACATATCCAATATTTGCAAAGCATTTTAAGCTCGTACCAGACAAACAACGTCGGCAGCCTTATGAAGGAGTAAAGCTTAGGAGGGAGGGAGGGAAGAGTCGAGTACATTTCTTCCCACACAGTGACACACACAGGGTAGTGCTAGACTGGAGGAAGAGTTGAGTGTCTCATTGTGAGGCGACTTGAAGTGGAAGGAAGACATTACAAATGACCCTTGATAAGCTTGGTCTGGATCTGTGGTCCTTGGACTTGAGTTAGGTTAGGTTGTTTGTCGATAATTTAGGTTAGGTTAAAATCGATTTAGTCTAGTTACTGGTAGATTAGATTAAGTTTGGTTAAGTATGGGTTGGCTGAAGTGAGGGTTGGGTTAAGTTAGGTTAAGTTTGGATTCGGTACAGTTAATTTTAGTTTAGGTTGGGTTAAGCGGTTAAATTTCAGACGAGTTAAGTTTGGGCTGGGTTAAGTTAGGTGAACTTTGGGTTGTGCTAATTCGATTAAGTTTGGGCTAAGTTGGTTTACATTTGTGGTTAATTTAGGAGTTATTACAGTATAGCCAGGTTATATAATTCGTTTCAGGTTAGGTTAGATTCGGTACAGACAGGGCCAAGAGCCGTGTGTGAAGATAACTCAGTGTATTGGAAGTACACCCAGCCATACCTAGGTTGAGATGCCAACAAGCCCCCCCCCCCTCCCCCGCCAAGACACAAAAATACTCCAGGTTACGTAACGACTCCCAGTGGATATACGTATAGCAGCTACCTCGGGCTAGGCTTGTTTGAATCGATTGACCGTTTGCCATTGTATACTTGTGTGGTGATTTTACCAGAATATCTATCTATCTATTTATCTAATGTACAGTAGCTTTATCTGTCTGCCTGTCTCCAGCTCCCTGGGGTGGGAGGGGGCTAGGCTGTGAGCGCGTGATACTTCTACTTTAAGTACTGAAGAAGTAGATGGTAGGGGACAACTTGTGGTCCGACTAATTACCCAAATGTAGCAAAATGTAGCCGAAATAAAGTCAAATAATGGTCCTACATAAATAAATAAAACTGCTAATCACTTCTCGACTAGTATTTGGTGTCACAAAGTCACAAAAAATTGGAAAACTTACTTTAATCTGAGTTAATAGATCGCGTGCATGTACCGAGGGAGCGAGTAATTACCCAAATGTAGCCACAATGAAGTCATTTGATGGTCGTACAAGCGTAATTCGGGCTGTGAATCATTTCTCGATTATTATTTGGTGTCATAAAGTCACAAAAAATTGGTAAACTTAATTTAATCTGAGTTGTGTTGTGGTGTGTTAGGTTAGGTACATGCACTTGATCTATGAACTCAGATTAAATTAAGTTTACCAATTTTTTGTGACTTCATGACACCAAATACCAGTCGAGAAGTGATTGGCAGTCCGATTTATTCATGTAGGACCATTATTTGACTTCATTGCGGCTACATTTGGGTACATTTGGGTAATTAGTCGGACCGTGTGTGTGTTGCTACTAAAGATTGTAGACTGAAAATGTACCATATGATTAATCCATTAGGCTATACTGAACTAAGATTGGTAAATTTTTACAAGTTGCCCATAATGTCCCACAATATTTTTGGGTCCAGTTCTAGATATATCTCATCATTCTGAATACAGTACCTTTCATCCTATACATTTCTATCGCAAATGAATAATAGTTAACGTAATAGAATCGGACCCCCACCACATTAAACAGAAAGTACTTAATTTGTTAAAAGGTAGTCATGAAAGCAACTTTATTGAAGCGTAATGGTATAATTTTACATATTTTGTGGATGTGAGAATACGCTCGGACTGACAAACAGACGGCGTGTGATGACTCAGCAGATTATGAGCGACTTGTAAAAAAAATACCCTAAAATTAAAGCACTTTTAGTTTAGGTTAGGATTCGTTATTTTAGGATATTAAGTTTAGTATCTTTATGTATGGTTAGGTTAGTTTTGATCAGGTTTGGTTGGTTTAGGTTAGGATATGTTAGCTTTTGACTAGTTTGGTTAAGTTAGGGTCAGTATAAGCTTGATAAAGTTAAAATAGGTAAAGCTGAAAATTTTAATGAACTGAATTTGCAGAATTTGGATCCCCAGCTATTGTGGCGGTTACAATTTAGCCCCAGTTCAACTATTGTGCTGGTTACAAGTTACACCCAGTTCAGCTATTGTACCATTAATAAGTTATCCACAGCTCAGCTATTGTACTGCCATACCTCACTATGTTGCTAACTGTACTTTTTGTGTTTCTCCTACAGGCGGATGTTGTGGTGCCACCTCGAAGAAGACCATCGTGGGCGGGTGGGCGTGGGCCTGGTGGTTTGTGACCGATGTCCAGAGACTCTCCCTTGAGGTGCGTACTTCTCCAGGGTAGTTGGTGTTACCTGGGAGTGAGGGTGGGAGAGTTACCTGGGAGTGAGGGTGGGAGAGTTACCTGGGAGTGAGGGTGGGAGAGTTACCTGGGAGTGAGGGTGGGAGAGTTACCTGGGAGTGAGGGTGGGAGAGTTACCTGGGAGTGAGGGTGAAAGTGTGCATGTGTTTTTGTCAGGACTATACTGTTTTGTGTATTTAGGTGTGTGTGTGTAATAATAATAATAATAATAATAATTATTTATGTAGGTGTTGACATGAAGGACCTCACGTGGTCATGGAGACACCGGGTGGTGTGGTGTACACGTGGTGCAGTAACTCGTCCTCGGGTGTTAATATGAAGGACCTCACGTGGTCATGGAGACACCGGGTGGTGTGGTGTTCACGTGGTGCAGTAACTCGTCCTCGGGTGTTGACATGAAGGACCTCACGTGGTCATGGGGACACCGGGTGGTGTGGTGTTCACGTGGTGCAGTAACTCGTCCTGGTGTTAATATGAAGGACCTCACGTGGTCATGGAGACACTGGGTGGTGTGGTGTTCACGCTGTGCAGTAACTCGTCCTCGGGTGTTGACATGAAGGACCTCACGTGGTCATGGAGACACCGGGTGGTGTGGTGTTCACGTGGTGCAGTAACTCGTCCTCGGGTGTTAATATGAAGGACCTCACGTGGTCATGGAGACACCGGTGGTGTGGTGTTCACGTGGTGCAGAACACATGAAGGACCTCACGTGGTGGGACACCGGGTGGTGTGGTGTTCACGTGGTGCAGTAACTCGTCCTCGGGTGTGTATGAAGGACCTCACGTGGTCATGGAGACACTGGGTGGTGTGGTGTTCACGTGGTGCAGTAACTCGTCCTCGGGTGTTAATATGAACGACCTCACGCGGTCATGGAGTCACCGGGTGGTGTGGGGTGATGTCACAGTACCTCAATCTCTGCTTGGTGGTGTTGTGTTTTCTCATAGTCAGGTGTAAAGCCGGCCCACTGTTGTTCCCAGGGTAGAGTGATTAACACCGCCTGGTCAGATGATGATGGTTGGTTCCCAGGGGTGCTTATCTCACGGGTGGGTCGTGGCTCTCGCTGGTACTGTCTAGTGCTGAATTCACTGGCTTAAACACTGTTCATCACTGTTCAACACTGATCCCACTTCTTTCCACAACGAAATTGTCACTTTTGATTTATGTTGATATCCCGGTGGTGAGGATGGGTTGGGGAGAGGGACTTGAGGAATAGCCGAACATATCCAAGGGGGGCCTCTGCGCATTAGCGCCTGATAGGTTTAGACCCTCCGATGGTCAGTGTGTGTGTGTGTGTGTTGTAAGTGGGGGGAAATTGGTGTTATACAATTATCCCACTGCTGCCACCATTTGTAGGGGGGAACCACTTTTGTTGTTTACTAATTATCGTATTTCCATTTTACTTTATCTTTATTTTTAACTTATTTATTTAACTGGGAAACCCACATTATTGTACATTAATATTAATTTTTGTCAATAATTTAGCTCTTAATACTGCCACCACCCAGACTTTTAAACAGAATGTAACACCAATAATAAACCCTCTCAATTAACTTAGTAGCTGGCATGAAAGGTTAGAGCACATGAGTTATAATTTTTATTTTCAGGGACAGCAATTGTTAGAAGGAATGAATGGTGATACACATATTATACTTAATTATTATTAATACAAGCAAATAGTAATTCAGTATAACCCCGCTTTACGCAGTCAATTGAACCCACGGAGGCCCGCGTAAAACGGGAAACGCGTAAATGGAACAACAGAACATATGGGATTAATTGAAATAGAGACTGGGCCGACCCCCAACTCCACTTTTTCAGACACAATACGTACGTTGTAGTAAAAATAACCTCTTAATTTTATGATGGTATGCACACACAATTAATAATTAAGATAAATATCAATAATATTAGGTTTTTTAACACTTACATTAGTAGAAAAGATGGCTGGGCACACAAAGATGGGGGGGTTGGTTCCGAGGCAGAGGGCAGATTATTGGCCCTCACCTGTATCACTTGTATCAATTGTATCACTATCCACCACAGAGGCTTGCAGGGCCTCTTTCTTAAACCCCTCAAAGTCCATATAAATCCATATCCTCACTATCACTGACTTGGGCCGGCTGTGGTGGGTGGCGGGTGAAGAACTCGGTAATGTTTTAATGACTGGGCGACCTTGTGCGCACCCTGCCCGCGCCGCTTCCCGCGTATATGAGTAGATGCACCGCGTAAAGTGGGAATTCCGGTTCTGGTGGGGTACTGCGTAAATGTGGAAACTCGTTAACGAGAACCGCGTAAAGCAGGGTATTACTGAACTGTGACAACTTGAACCATCAATCACAACTAAAGGAACTTCACTTAGGTTCAATTAATATTGGGTAACTTTATTTTAACACTTAGACAAAATATAAACTGACCAATCGGTCTTACTTTCTGGTTATAAAAAATAGTTAGTTCAGTTTACAGTTACACCATTCAATAATCATACTAACTCATGGGTAATATTAAACAACAGTGGCTCCAGAGTGATGGTCACTCCAAACACTTTTCAGTAGCACACAATGATGTTATTACTTATAGCACCATCAGGTACCTGGGATCTAAATCACACTAATAATTACTTAGTATACATGGAGAAATACCTAACAAAACATATCTACAAATCCAGCTGGTTCACTCAACATTTATAACAAACACTTATCTTGTCTGTAATAATTTATAACCCATCCACACTGATACATACAAGAGCATTTAACACATACAGGTTGGCTGGTACAGTTGTGGAACTGTGTTGCTACACCCTTTGTGGTAACCTGTGTCTCCAAACGGCAACGTCACACTAGTAATATCACTATTTATGAATGTATGGGTATTGGTCGTGTAATGACAAACGTGATTGGAGGATAGTTTTGCTATAGGTCAGGGGTCACCAAACTTTTTTCACAGTGGGCCGGATAACTGAAAGAATGACGAGCGCGGGCCGCATAATCATTCTGTTCAATACTTGCAAGCCAGAACGAAAGCTCTGGTAACGGCAGAGCGTAGGCGGAGTTACCACGAGCCAGGGAAGGACTTGGGATCCGGCCTGCGGGCTGTAGTTTGGTGACCCCTGCTATAGGTCATATAGGTTGGCCGTTTGGAGACACGGGTTAGCACACAGCTTAACTTCACCACATGAAAGTCTGTAGATCACATCCAGGGTTCAACACCCAGGATAACACACTACTGGTCGCATCAGACCTTCACTACAGCTCTAATTAAGTATCCAATTTCGTGTCTCGCTATGGCTACCTCTGGGGCAGTTTCAATTCTTCACACACAATCTGCCAGGCATGGAAGTAATGTTCAGAATGTAAATAAACTTTTGTTGGTCGGTTAGTACCCGACACCTGAGCATATGAATGTTTTTACACAGGATACAAAATAATCTTAACTAACTTATGGAACGCTCATGCGTGCGTAATT